AAGCCATAACTCACTCTTCCTAATGGTTAAAGTCATATTTTAAAGTTACTACCAACTATTTATGATACAAACATTTTCACTAAATTTGTTTTACTTACATGTAAGTGAATATTTTCTTCTGTCACAAGTTCAACAACTCTTGTACCATGCATATTCCCATTGTCCTGTAGCTCCTGCACAAATGTAAATTAATCAAAGTTAGCAATTATTATGAGCAATAGTATAACCATTATAAGTAATCAATAAAATTCATTAACACCACGACCTTCTCCGGATTTCTCACAATATATTTGTGCACATTTTCCTTACAAGTTTGGCTATGAATCTTCTTTTTTTCCTTCTTTTTTTTTTCTTAGTAACTTTTTCAACCATAGATTGCTTTCTTTTAAATGGTGGGCACCCTTTTGAATGAGCTACCAAGGGATCAATTATGTTTGTGCTCTCTTTTGAAATTCCAATGCCATCTCCACATGACGTAGACCCATTTCGAGTACGTACATAAATTTGTTTATCGCTTCGGCAACTATCTTGCTTCATACATACACAAAACTCACATATTCTTTCTATGACCTTCTCACTCCAATCTTCGGACACTACAGCCAAATCCGCAACCTCGTAGAAGACATTACACATTTTATCAAATCGGCGTGCTTCAGGTTTGAGAGGCCGGTTGTCATAACTGATTCGCACTTTTGTATGGCTCCTTTTAACATTTTTGGACCATATTTTCAAAATGTACTTATCCGGTATTTGATCAACCTTCCTGTGAATGAACACCACAATTTGATACCTACACAATATTTCCCTATATTCAAATAACCGACAATTACAATAAACCTCATGAGTATCTTCATCAAAGCACACATTAAAAGATACACGGCGATGGCTTTCTCCAAATAATATATCTTCAGCTACTTTGTATTCTGAAACGTAAGCATCTTTCTTATATGAAGATAAATCACAAGAAATCTTCCCCATTAGCTCTCGCTGGAACTCTTTAAATTTTGCCGTTGTATAAGCACTTTGAAATTGCTTTTCCATTTCATAACCAACCATACATGGGATGCAAGAGTTGAAATAAGTTCTTCATTGTTCTCATTTTCTACCTTTTTTGCCAAAGCATTTTCATATTGTTTTACAAATTGTTTCAATGTGGTCTTGGAATTAACATACCCATCAAAAAATGCATGCATGCTTTCACTACGCTATGTGGTTGACATTCCTGCCCAAAAAGTATTTTTCACATAGGCAGGCACCCAACGATGCCTTTCATCATACAAACTAAATAACCATTTATTGTTTTGAAGTTTATACTTCTCAATGAATTTGTCCCAACTTTCTTCAAATTCTCTTGTAGTTAAGGAATCATAAATCACATTTTTCATTGAAAACTTGATTCCTTCATATTGGTTGTAACCTCTCAATTTCTCAGGTAGCTTTTTCATGATATGCCACAAACGCCATCGATGTTGTGCATTAGGAAAAACATACTCTATAGCATTTTTCATTGCTTGATCTTGATCCGTAATGATTGCAGAAGGAGGACATCCAGACATGCATGTGAGCCATGATTGAAATAGCCATGTAAAGGTCTCTGTGTCGTCACCTGAGATCAATCCACACCCAAGTAATGTTGATTGGCCATGATGGTTCACTCCTACGAAAAGAGCGAATGACATTGCATATTTGTTAACTAAGTATGTTGTGTCAAAGGTAACTACATCACCGAACTCTTTAAATGCAGCTCTACTCCTTGCATCTGCCCAAAATACATTCCTTAATCGGCCTTCTTCATCTAAATCCATCATGTGAAAGAATTCAGAATTGTTAGCTTACATTTTCAAAAAGTAATTATGCATTGTTGTAGTATCTCCTTCTCCAAGCTCTATGCGTCCAACCTATCCATATGATTCCTGCAATCATTCTCTAAATATGTCAATTCTCATGCCCTCCTTCTTGAACCACTAATGAATTAAAACTCTCGTTCATTCTAATACTGGCTTTAGCATGTAATTCAAGCCTCCTTTTCACAGTTGAATTGAGAACCCTATGGCATCTATAAAATCGAGCTTTTCCTGGACTCACCCCATGATTATGGTCAAGAACCATAGATCTCAAAATCCATTTTCCATCACCTAATAGATTTGCACAAATCTTAGCTTTGCAATTTGTTTTTGATTGTGGATGCAATTGATGGGGTTTGCTTGATTTAACATTTGGCTTTCCACTATGATTACAAGCAGCTGTCACATACCTCGCCTCCCCTTAGAGCTTCTTATACACATGCGAAAACCTTTTTCCTTTGCATACCTTTGATAGAATTGAACAAGGTCATCAATGGAATCAAACAACATTCCTATTTTAGGATCTTCTACACTTTTTGCCTTCTCTATTTCAATCTCATTATGACCTTCATTTAAGCCAACAAATTTAGAACCACTTGATACCTCCTCCATGTGTCTGTATTATAATATATAGAATAATCAATGAACAAAACAAAAACAACATAAATTAGAAAGTCTACTTTGTTAAACCAGTCTTCTTCAATTAAAAAGTAACATATTCATACATGTAACTATTAACTAGAATATGGAAATATACATATTCTTTCTTTAATTTACAAATAAATCTATAAAAGCCATTCTTTGTACTATTTGCATTCTATTGTCTCTTTTCAAATTCGTATTAGTTATTTGAAGGTTAAAGATGGTTTTTATTGTATTTGGTTATGCCTCAAGTGGTGTTTGGTTATGACCCTTGGTTTATGGTTTTTATTGTATTTGGTTATGCCTCAAGTGGTGTTTGGTTATGACCCTTGGTTTATGACACATTATGGTGTTAAGGGGCAACATTGTGCAAGGGCTGGAAGGGGACTCGGCCTCCACAGATTTTTAACAATTTTATTATTATTATTATTATTATTATTATTATTATTATTAATTCTATATTTATAAATATTTGTAAAATGTATAATAAGATGATCTTAGAGAACCTAAAACTTTACCGTTAAATTTATTCACAATGACATGGCAGGGGTTAGATCTTAATTGATTTATTTCTAAACAAATCAACTAATATGTAACTTTCAAAGGCATTGAGGGTAAATTTAAGTATTTTTCGGGGATCTTAAGCATTTTTAATTTTTATTTAATAGATTATATCAATCGATAAAATCACTTAAAATAGTGTTTTAACCGATTATATACTAAAATCTAATAGTTCAAAACTAATATATATATATATATATATATATATTAGATTTATTTAGTTTTCTCATGAAATACTTCTTTAGCAACACTTATATAAAAAATTATATTCAATTACTAATGTATTAAAACCAATTCAATATTTTTTATGCATGTACATTAGCCCCTCCTGAACAAAATCCATCGTTCCGCTCCTAGTGGTATTGGTTTTAATTGAGTTATGAGAGGTCTTTAATTATGTTTTAATGATGTTTGGTTTTGATCCATTAAATTATGACATAAAGTTATTTGATCATAATATGATACACTCTTTTTGAGGTATATATATATATATATATATTATAGTATTACCCATATTTTAAACTTTCTGTTTACAAATTATGTATACAACAGAATTATGCTCAATCCCAATTTAAAAGCAATAAAAGCATATGGACATCTTGTATATATATTTTTTGAAGATTACCCTCACATACACTTTGGATTGAAACCATCACGACAAAAATAATAGACAAGAGGACCAACCATACTGATACATCTAGTTGAACAAAAATTGAGCACTAATAGCCTTCATAGTTTAAATAAAACAAGAAGCAACAGTGAATGATTTACCGAAATCCGTAGGCAAGAGAGAGGCCAGGGAAAGTCTCCGTTTGATTCTTCTCTTGGGTTTAGTTTATCATTGATTCAGTTGATTATCGAAGATGTAAAAGAGACATAATCAACCCCATGAAGAAAGAGAACTTGTAAAGAGAGATGAACGATTCACCAAAACGACGTGAAAGAAAGGAAGTCGAAGATTTCGCAACTTTTTGAACGACTCTGCAAATTCTTATCGTATTTTTTTTTTCTTTTCTTTTTTTAAAATTCTTTTGTTTACTTTTCGGACGACTCTGCAAATTCTTATCGTATTTTTTTTTTCTTTTCTTTTTTTAAAATTCTTTTGTTTATGACAGTGGGCCCAAGAAAGTGATGTGGAATGCCATTTAAGGTTTCCGTAAACTTATTAATAAGAATATAAGGTAGCGTTTGGTAACGTTTACGTTTTTTTGTTTATGTTTACAAAAATTTTATAAATTGATTTTTGTTTATTTTTAGAAAAACATAAATTACAAACGCGTTTGGTTTGAACAAGAAAAAAAAAATAATTAAAAAAAAAGATTAATTGAAAAAAAATTAATTGAAAAAAAAATTATTTCAAAAAAAATTAATTGAAAAAAAAGTAATTGAAAAAAATAATTAAAAATAACAATTATTTGAAAAAAAATATTTGAAAATAAATTATTTGAAAAAAAAATTGAAAACTGAAAACGTAAACTCATTTTTTGAGTTTACGTTTTTTCTTCAAATTTATAAACTGAGACAACCATTTATAAATCAAAAAAATTATCAAACAAGTTTTTATGACAGTTTTTAAAATTTTTGTAAATATAAACGGAAAACAAAATGATTAGGTAGCATTTGGTAACGTTTACGTTTTTTGTTTATGTTTACAAAAATTTTATAAATTGATTTTTGTTTATTTTTAGAAAAACATAAATTACAAATGCGTTTGGTTTGAACAAAATATTTAAAAAAATTTAAAAACATAAACTAAAAAATATATTTTTTTAGGCCTAAAATATTTATATTTATTTTTATTACTTATGACAATGGGATCACACACATTATAATTGAAAAAAGATTAATTAAAAAAATAATTGAAAAACAATTTAATTGGAAAAAAATTAATTGAAAAAAATTAATTAAAAAAATAATTGAAAAAAATTTAATTGGGGAAAAAATTATAGCTTCGCAATCGACTCACTCTCTCTCTCTCCGGCAACTCTCAGGTAAGGACTCTCTCTGTCTCCGTCTCGCTCTCTCTCGCCGATCTGTGATTTTAAGAAATGGGATAGACGAAGCCAAATCCAGTGGTGTTTGGCCCACCGTGAAGCCTTTCGTCAATGGCGGAGCCTCTACAATGCTCGCTACCTGTGTCATCCAACCTATCGACGTGATCAAGGTACTCAAATACACACACATATATATGTTGTACTTATTAAAATATATATTATATATATATATATATATATGTTGTATATAGATAAGTTATCTCATGTAAAAAAGATCTTTGATCTTTGTGCTCTTTTTGAAAGGTTTCAGATCTTAGATCTAACATTGAAATGGATCTTTGTCAAATGTTGAGTTCCTTTTATGTGTAACTAATGTTGATTGTTTAACTGAAATATGAGATTGACTGGGATCTTAGGATCAAAATGGCTAGTTATTTGTTAAATCTTGAATTTGTTTATATATGAAATACTGGTTGATTGGAAATTATGATTTGATATATATATATATATGTTTGCTCTTACTAACAGTCCGTTTGGAATGAGTTATTTGGAGGGAGAAAAAAAATCCAAACCGTAAACCCTATCCGCACAAATCACAAACCGCAAACTGCGCAGGGCTGTTATGGTTTGACTTTTTCCAAACTGCGTAGGTGCGGGTTGATCAAAACTGAACCGCAAACTGCACAAATCCGATCCGCGAGCACCACTAATGACTATGATGATAAATATGTCTATTTTCCTGATGAATTCTGGATACAGGGAAAACGGGTTGTAATGGCGTTCATACAATGGCGTTTTGAATAACGACACTTTTTAGTGCACAAAATCTACCCTACCGCAGTTTTTAGTTTTACTTAAAAAAAGGAAAAAAGAAAAGTGGATCACCGTAAATATATTCCCTTATCTGTACAAGGGTCTGTCTATCTCCTTCTCACACTTAGATCTCACTCACTCACACCCTGCTCTTCTCTCTCACAATCGAACTCTCTCAAGGGCTTTGCTCTAGCTGTTCTTCATTGATCTCGATCTTGCTCACTATTAGCTCCCATCTTGAGTTTGCAAATTGCAGATCCGAAATCGATGTCATAGTAAGTGTAATTGGTGTTCGAGTTTGAACTATCATCTTCTCTACTTTCTCATTGTCAAATTAGATTTGCTGATTAACTCTCTAATTTTTTCATTCTCAGTTCAGATTAGATCAGATCGTTATCATTCTTGAACTAGATCGATCTATGTTGCTCTTCATCTCAAGTACATTTCGCAAAAAAATTAATAAATTCTAGATTTTCTCTCCCAGTGATGTTCTTTCTATTCTGGGAAACCAAAAGAAAAATCACACAACTCTGTGTTTTCTTTTGTGAAAAAGGGGCAGTCCTTTTGTTTCCAAGCACTTGCCGCTGGAGATGTTTTGGAACCAATTCGAGCAAATGCTGCTTTCTACAGTTTGTTTCCCTGGAAAAGTAACTCAAATCAGTGTTTTATTATTATTATTATTAATAGATATGGGTTATAGTCATTTTTTTGTTGTGCTTTCCTTTATTTTTTATTTGTTCTCTCTTAAATGCTAGAAATGTCTGTCAGGAGCTGCATTTCCTTATTTCCTTATTATTCTGGTAATTTTGAATTCTACAGAATTACAAAAGATTTGAAGTAATCTTGTTGCTACATCAGTAAGCCTAAGTAGTTGGTTGCAAAGTTTATTAATGTTTTCCTATATATTTCCTCTGTTGTAAAGAAAATACTACCCATTTGGAAACAATAGAAATTCTTTGGGCAATATGGTCTCATTATTAAGTTTTTGAAGTTGGATCCATTGCTTTTCCTTGATATGGATTTGTCAAAAGTCAGCTCTTGTTTGTGTAACGGCAAACATTGTTAAGCAAATAACTGTATCACTATCACATGAATTGCCTTTAAAAATTAAAATATCCAGGAAGTTTTGAGATGTCAACTTGTTATGAGAATGAACAAGTTTTAGATTATTCTTTGTTTATTTGTATTTCCATTGGTGGTCAACAACCATAGTTATAGCACAAGCACAAATAATTTGGTTGTTCTCGTAGAATCTTCAATAGAGATAGCTACTAAACCCTAAAATTTTGGCTACCAAGAGTTAGATGCAACTTCGTTTGCTTGTGAGGAGGGACATAAATTGGGTTAGGCAAGGTGAATTTGGAACAACTATTGATGAAACTATTGGACCTCTTGGGATATCGACACAGACACAATTTGAAGATGATGAAGAAATGATATGGTATTGTAATTTTGTATCATATTCACTCGTACATTTGTACTTCGTTGTCTACCATGCCGTCTCCTGTAGGTCGTGTTTTGCTATCTTGATGGTGTTTGGACAGCTGGATAAGCTATCTAGTTCTACTGTTTGAAATGCTGTATGGTTCTTGTTTTTGGGAAACAATTTTGTTATCCACATTCCTGATTGATCTTGCTATTGGGATCTTTCTTCCAATGCCCTGCATTCATATGCCGTTTAATTTTAATATGAAAGTTGTTGGATGACATTGCAAAATTATGTCAAGTTCAAGAGATAAAATTGTAGTTTACTGTATTTTAGTTGAAGTTGCCAATTATTTGCAGGTTACTACAAATGCTGATGAGTCGATGAAGAAATTTATTTTGGCATTTGTTGGAAAAAAATGGAGAGAGTGGAAAGCTAGAGTTAAAAAAATGGGGTATATGCCATTCATCGACCCGAAAGAGTACATGAGCATCAATGGCGGAGCTTAGTTTATTATTGGGGCACTCGGAAGGCATAGGTATCATTTAATGTTGCTAGTTTAATTGGTGGCTGTTGCTGTTAGAGATACTTTTACATGGGATTATTGCTTATGGGTTTGGAAGATTTGTTTGCCTTGTTGATCTCAACTTGTTGAATTTGATGAATTTTGGCTTGTCAATGAATTGTTTTAGTGTTAAATTGTTTATTGAACTCTATTGTAATCTCATAAGATGAGTTTGTTAATTAATAAATTATCTTGTGTTTCTGTGTGTATTACTGTTAGTGTAGCTCTGCAGGGGAATAAACTCTAATCGCCTCAAAGAGAAACACTATTGTGAGATTGAGATAGGAAGAAAAATATGTGGGGTAAAGAAGTGGGGGAGACGGGGCACTCACCTCTCCACGAAAGGGAATAGATAAATAGGTTGTTTGTTTGGGATGATTTAAATAAATATATTTTTTGATTTTTTATAAAAGAATGTAAAAAGAAATAAAATATAATAATGTGACCTAAATAATTTATTTAGGAGATGACAAACAAACTCAAAGTTAGTATTTAAAGAGCAATCTCCCATAATATATAGTGCAATATATTGAAAATTACACTAAAATAATATCAATTTTTTGTGCAGCTCACTTTTGGTATAACTACCATGGAAAACCAGAAAATACTTTGGAAGGACTTGTATTTCTTCGATTATTACTTCCCAAATCCCAAATCACTAATACCATGGATCGGAATGTAATGCGACAACATCTCTAATTGCTTCTTAGCAATTGTTACCGATGCTTTCTCTGCGTTTCGAAACAAAAAAACTTTGGTTTTCGTGCAAATTCTCCACTGTCAATGCGGCTACGCTGACATTGTTCAGTGTAGCAATGAAGATGCCACTGGATTTGAGTAGTGACATGTATGGAGGAAGCGATCAACTTGCAAAACTTAGCAGTACAGTCATGGCATAAAATTACCTATTATAATACATATCATGACCGTGTTGCTAAGTTTTGCAAGTTGATCGCTTCCTCCGTACATGTCACTACTCAAATCTAGTGGCATCTTCATTGCTACACTTAACAGCGTCAGCGTAGCGGCATTGATAGTGAAGAATTTGCACAGAAACCCAAGTTTTTGTTTGGAAATGCAGAGAGAGCATCGGCAACAATTGCTAAGAAGCAAATTAGAGATGGTGCTTGAGGCAATCTTGCCTGTTCTTCTCTAGTCCTGGCCTCATCGACAAGGTCCCTCAGATGGCCTTGCCTCACCAAGTCTTCTAGGTGTGCTTTTAGGGCTCTACAACCCTGAGTTGGGTGCCCTTCTTCATTGTGGTAAGCACAACGCCTACTGACGTTTCTTCCCATAAATTCCCCTGGTGTTGTTGTCGGTCCTCTTAAATAGGGTTGGTTTCGTATTTGATCCAGGACTTTGTGGATTGGGACTCGGAATATAGTCGTTACTGCCTGTTTAGCCCTCAATTTCGTTTCTTGTTTGTTCGGTCCATTGTTACCTCGGCTTCGCTTCGGCGAGCCGTTTCCTTTCTCCTACTTTGTCTCTTTGTTTCCCGACGCATCCTCCTCGGCTCTGGCGTACTTCTCGATTCTCGCCATGAGTTCTTCCATGCTTTTTGGCAATGTCTTTACCAAAGACTTCCGTAGTGGGCAGTCATCTTTCAGGCCGTTCTTGAAAGGCACGACCGCCACCTCTTGGTTGCATTCAGGTATTCGATTGAACACCTTGTAGTACTTTTTTGCGTAGGCCCTAAGGCCTTCATCCTTGGTGATTTTTAAAGCCATGAGTGCATCGACCCTCAAGGGCTGTAATTTGTTCGTCACAAACCTGGCCACAAACATCTCGGCCAAACCTTCCCAAGTCTTTACGCTTCCCTTCAGTAGTTTATGGAACCAATCTGATGCAATTTCCCTAAAGGATGAGGGGAATACTTTGTAGAGCAATGGCTCGTTCCTACTATATAGTGCCATTGAATTCAGGTATAGTCCAACGTGAAAGTTGGGATCTAACTTACCATTATATATTTGGAACCTCGGCATACTGAATCTCTTTGGTGCTTCAAATTTGTCCAGTTCCACCGAGAATGGTATTTTCGACTTAACCGGGGAAGTTACCTCGGCTTTAGCATTCTGTTGCTTCCTCTTGAGGTAATCTCTCAAGTCTTCTTTACTCCTTCCTGGAGCTCGGCTATCTTTGGACTTCAATCTTTTCAGCACACTACTTTCGGCCTCGTGGTGGGCCCGTTTTGATCTTTCTCCATGGCTTGTGTCAAAGCAAAGTGCCTGCCCTTGAACGTGCCGATGTTCTTTGGGCTCTGGGTCTTTCGTGTGATGCGTCCTTCGGGACTTCTCTCGTCTTGGCTCCTCTCGTTCGACTTCCCTGGAAGATCGAAGTGAGTACCTTCTGCTCCTGGTGTGCTGAGGGGCGTCAGGGATTGTTTTCCTTCCTCCCTTTTGGGTATTAGTTGCTGGAATCGGCGTGTCGTGCAGCGAGTATGGTGGCTGCATGACATTGTTTTGCATCATGAAGTTGACAACCGACTGCAGGTCTGCCAACTTGTTTGCCAATTCTTTTACTTCTTTATCCCTCCGCAGGCACCTATCCCTCCATACCTGGAGGCTATCTTCATTATTATAGTCTTGTTTTGGTCTGCCTTCTTCGAGAACGATGTGTCCGCCTCCTAGGCCGAACGTCATTCTTCCCGTGGCCCTGGTTTACGCGGTTTCTGTATTGTTTGTTGTCTCCT